TTTTTGGGTTGATGCTTTGGAAGTCTTGACAGTTTTTGTTTGCCTTTGGTTTTGGAGGTTTTTGGTTATGCAGGTTTGGTGTTGTTGGAATTTGGTTTCGTGGATTTGTTATTGTTTTGTTGATGAACAGGTTGCAAGTTAGGTTGATGGTGTTGAAATGATTTTACAATTTGGGTTTTGAATGTTTGACTGTATTTTTGAAGGTTGTGTTTTGTTGGCTTGAGATTAGGCTTGGGATTTTCTTTTGACAGTTGAGACTTCTTGAGTTTTAAAATGGTTTGATGGATGATGGTTTGAAGGTTGGTTTGACAGTTTGGAGGTTTTCTTTGGTTTGCTCAGTTTTATAATTTTTCTCTCCCTCTTTTGCTTTAGCCTTGTCTACTGTTATATTATGTTGCTTCTGTTGAAATCTTATTCAAAATGGTGGGAAAACCACCAGATTTTGAATATTTGGCATATTATTCTTATGCTCTTTTTCTTGTAGTCTTTGTTTTCTAGCAACTCTTATGCAATTGTGACAGCAGGGCAGCAGGGTTGTGCATCCCTAGGTGACTTCTTTCCTCTCTTCTCTCTCAATGACCCTAAGAGTCAATTGCTCTTTTACCTTTTTCTGAAAAGTTTGCAATAAAAATGGAAAATGATGAAAATGGCTTCTTGAACAAGTTTCTTGCTTGTTTGACTTGATTATTATATGTTATACTTCTGCTTTTTTGTTTGCTGCCAGCTTCCTACTGCTATGCTGCTGCCTCGTTTGCATTGATGTTGTTTGTATTTTGTCCAATTTTGTGCTGCTGTTTTGGGCATTCTGTTTGGTGATGCGCTGCTGTTTGCAATATGTGTTTGGCTGCTTTCTTGCATTTCTTGTTTGGACAGCCTTGTTGCATTTGGATAGTTTGCTTGCATTTCTTATTTTTCATTTTTTGAACCAAGAAGAATAATCTTCTTGTGATTTTCAAATAGAAAAATAAAAACGTGATGAATTAAAAATAGCCTTCTGATTCCAAATTGCAAACTTTAATGATGAACACTTTTTCTTTTGAAAATTATTTCTCATGTCCAATTAATTTGTACTAACTTTTTCTTCTGTCTTTTGTTTTCATATGAGCACAATTGGATGGTGGCAAAGTAGGGGAAGCAAGAGACTCTGTGGTAAGCATGGAAGCAATGGAAGCTCAGTCAATCTTAGGCATAGATTCATTTTCTTTGTAATTTAGAGAGAAACATTCAATCAATTGTACTAATTTATTTTTCAAATACGATAAATTGTAAAACCTAAAGCATTTAAATAATAAATTGTTTTGTAACAACGTTTGAAAAATTGGAGAAAGTCTTATGAAATATTCTGGTGTTAATTGAAATCCTTTACTGTCAAGAACTTGTAATTTTCTCTTCGCATCTTCACTGATTCTTAAAGATTCCCGATCAAGATAATTGAAACTGCATTCCAATAATTCCAATCAAGATAAATTTAATTTCAATAATCATGTAATCTTGCAACTGCATTCCAAACAAACACGCACTGTGTATTCCAATTCCTAAACAAGCAAATGTTTTAGAAGACGCAAATCATCTAGTTACCCTTGAGAACAAACACTGCCTTTTCAGTAAACTTGAAAAAGTATGAAAACATGTGAAAGCCAATTGGATCTTTGAGAATTCATTTCTTTTGAGAATTGCAGGAGAAACCCTAATTGCTGGTTTACTGCCACAGAAGAAAATATGTCTGATCGATTCCTGAGCCAACTTGAATATCTGAGAAACCCTAGGGTTGTGTTTTATTATGAAACATGGGAGGGAAAATTTTGGGGTACAACAGATTGCATGGAAAGAATTAAAAACAAACGCTAGAAAACCTAACATTCAAGACAAATAACTAAAACACAACACACTCGCACACGCGCACCTCTAAGGTACCTACACTTTGTTGCCTTCGGAAAAACAGTCATGTCCCTCGAACGCAAGACACTTTAGTAAAGACCCTCGGTTAAAAAGATCGTAGTCCCTCGATGATCCTCCGATGTTGCCTTCGGTATACAATCTAGTCCCTTACGATAAAATTGCTAAAGTGTCCTACGAGTTGCCTTTATGATTGTACGATAACTCACGCTTATCCCTCAAACATCCAATAATAGGGCTACCTACTGACTAATAGTAGGATAACACTATCTAAAAGAAATGAGGAAAAAAACAAAAATATTTCGAGTAGGTAGATAGCTTATAGTTGCTTGCTCACACAAACAAACAAAACAATTTTTCACACATGCACACTCTCTTTTCAAAATATTTTCAAAGACAAAAAAAAAACTTTGTATACGTTCTCGCTGAAACGAGAAACATTATAAAGTTCGCCGCACTAAGGTGTCTTTTCAAAATATCTTCAAAATACAATTACACAAAAAAGACATTTTTAAAATGAGCTAACAACTAAGAGCCCGTAGATAACTACGAATGGAAAGGGTGTTAACATCTTCCCTTTCTATAACCTGCCCCTCATTCTCAGAAAATATTCACGAAAGGTCTTTCCTGTTCTTTTCACTCTTTCCTTTATTGGATAAAAGAAAAGTCGGTGGCGACTCTTGTTAACCACAACATTTGAGATAAAATGCAAAACCAGTAAAGTTAGTTCTCCCACCGTATTAGAGACTATATAAATCTAATCCCTAATGTTATCATGCAATGATTGATCCTAAAGTTGAGTTTTGAAGGGAAATCTCTACCCTATGTTGACATGCTTGGATAATAATCCTAATGTTTATCTCAAATCATCATCTATAGATGAATCAATAAGTTCTAAAGGAGCATAGCAAGGGTCTATCACCTAAAACTATGTCTATCTTGAATCATCATCTATAGATGAATCAAGAGTTCCTAAGGGAACATGTCGAGGATATATCATCTCAAAACATGCACACACAAATGAAATCAAGCAAGCAAGCCAATAAGCTCAAGAGAGCACACATAATATGTCATGAGTAACTCGTGCTAACTCAAGTCAAATGCCTAGCCATGATATAGACGATCAAGGTATGAAAACAAATTAACAATTAAAAGGCTCAAGAGAGCACACCTAGAGAGATCCTATCTAGGCTAGCATACCAAAGAAAGTCTAACAAAACTATCTTATGGGGAACTTGCAATGAGATCGAAGTCGTGATCTCAATTCCTAAATTGAGTGACTCATCGGTCAACAACCAAGGAAAGCGATAAAATCCTATAGGAAGCATGCATTGAGAGCGCATTCGTGATCTCAATTCCTAAATCGAATGACTCATCGATCAACAACTAAGGAAAGCAATAAAACCCTATAGGGAGCATGCACTGAGAGCGAAGTCGTTATCTCAATTCCTGAGTGATTCATCGATCAACAACCAAGGAAACAAACACAAGCACAACACATATAGAAAAGAAAGTGCGGATTTCCGGCTACAGGTCTTTAAACATGGACTTCGAGCGCACCTCTTTATTTCCTACTTCCTACTTCACATGATTTCTAGAAAGCGATAAATGCCCCTACTATACATGATCTCTAGAAAGCGGTAAAATGCTGAAATGAGATAAACAAGGGAAAATACCAAACATATATCAATCAGTAACAAAGCCTATCAAAACAAAGAAAACCGACGATCTTCGCGAAAGCTTCACCAACCAAAGAAAAGAGCCAGAAATCAAATGCCCGGAATAAGTGTCAAAGTATCATCGATGTGAAAATAAATCACAATCGAAATCTCGAACATATCCGTATATCACACAATAAACCTGCATAAAACTCAAATCTCAACAAGCAAAGGTGAATTAGAAATCTCAAGTAATCAGATAATCGGAATTTAATTCCTAAAATCAAATAAAAAACTCTAACAAATTTTTATTGATTTTATTATTTTTTATCATGTAAAGAAAAAGTTCAAACAAAACTAAACAATTATCAAAATTATTCAAAAGAAAATTGCAAATAGCAAAAAAACAAGCCCAAGGGATGCATACTGGAATTTGTGTGGTATGCTGAAGTAATCTGGGTGCAGGCCCAATCAATTGAGTCCAATAAGCTAGAAGATAGAAGATAGAAGATTGTTGTAGCAAGATGAAGATTGAGTCCAATAATCTGGGTAACAGAGATGAAGATAGAAGATTGTTGTAGCAAGATGATGTTAATGCAGTCACGTGGATGTTGCAGAATTGATGCGATGATGGTGATGGTTATGCAGAGGGAAGTAGTTACAGAGAGAGTTTGAAGTTTTTCTTGTGATCTTTGAGAAATGAATCGTGAATACAAATTTGAGAGAGAGAGAGGAGCAGAGAGAAGGTTTTGTGATTCTTCTGAATGATAGAAGAAAAAGATCTGGTAAGATTTTTTGTTATATCCTGTTAGTCTGTTAGAGTTTGATAGGAATTTGTTAGATGAAACTGAGATAGTTAGAAAGGTAGTTATAGTTTGGAATTCTGGTTTGATTTAGTTAGTTATTTTTTTGGTTTTCTGTTAATTGATGCTGAGCTGGAAAACTATGAGTTTTTTCCTTCTTTTCCTGATTTTATATTCCCGATTTTCTGATTTTTCTTCTTGATATTTAAGAAAATCCCGGGTACTTGAGACAACCAAACCAAGACGATTTTGTTCGTCAAGAACATTGATAGCTGACATAACAAAATTAACTTTTGAACTCTGAAATAGCTCTTTTGGCATCTTGATAATGCTATTGATGACTGCATCCAGTCCACATATGAAATACACTAATCTACTGATAAAACAATCTAGTCAAATTGATGGAAATATCCCCGATATGTGAGTTTTGATTACTCTCTGAGCCAGTGCTAACTGCATCGTGTGCTAACCTATAAAATGTAGCAGTAGAATTGTAATCTTTTTTTTTAGCCTCACAAACCAGTCCATGTAAGTTATGGGATTCAGGATAGTGAGGGGAATGTTGCACAACCTACTGAATAGCTCAAAAACCCTGTGAAGATGCAAGATGGCCACTCAGCAAAGCAAGCTCTGTTAGTCCAATTTAGAATTCAGCTAAAGGCATTATCTGCACTGCTCGGGAACAGCTTTCAAATGCCTTATCTGGTGCAGACTCCTTACTCACATAAGACTTGACTGACATGCTAGCCCATGGCAATGCAAGGTCGGGATCGATACTTCGCACCCGACCAAACACTTGCCTTGCCAATTTCTTTTCGTCCACTTTAAGAGACAACTTCCCAAGATATCCCCAAGCAACAGCTAGAGATGCATTTAACTGCAGTCCTCTGATCAAAGAATGTTGATTTAGTCGTCGTTTTGAGTATACTTGTTTGCAATCTGAATTTTTCTACTATTCTCTTTTGAACTTGTATATTGCATGGATTGTTATGACTGTTGTTTCAATTGCAAGCTTTTTGAACTGGTTATATTTGGATTTGAATAAGATTGCACATGTACTGATGTTTTTATCTCTTGAAGGTATTATGTTAACATCATATTTTTCTGTAAGACTACATTAATGATGGGCTATATTGATGACTTGGTTTGGTGCATATGACTAAGCATTGTATTGAATTTTGTAGGTTTTTTTCTTATGGAATGGCGTGGAGCATGAATTAAGGATGGTATCATAGGCCTGGAAAGGAAACTACAAGAGAGTCTAAAAAGGGCTTTGGAAAAGAAGATGAACATTATGTTTTAGGCTTAGAATCAAGATTTTCGGGTAGTTTTTGATGTATGTGAAATAGTTTGAACTTGTAATGATTTTTTTATGTAACAAAACTTGATTGGAATTGTAATGCTTATATGCTTTTGTAGTAAATTAATGTAACATGGTGTATATTATCTTCTTGTAATGTAACTTGTTTTTGTGTAATTTCTTTATGTAATAGGCTAAGGTAGTGACTTGAATGGATCTTTAGATTGGTCCATGTTTTGAAATGTAGTTGGATAATTGAGTACACCTTCTTTGACCTTATGTTTGTGAAATCCCAATGTCTCACATTCTATCAATTTGGATGAACTTAAAAACTTGAATGGATATTTGTAAATTAATCTTTAAAGAACAAAACCACTCCACTTCTATTGTAAGTAACAAGTATAACAATGAATCTACATTATCTATGTACCATAATTTAATGTTCTTGCAAATCAACCAATAAACTCTTAACTTGGTGACCAAAGATCCCACAAGGTGTCGTGTCTTGAAGAAAACTTATATCCTAAGAAAAAGTTGACTGGAAAAGCCTCTTTAAATCATGATACACAAATCCCTAATTGATTAAGTAAGGAACTTATATCCTATGGAGGAATATTTTTCAAAATGCATGGATTTTATCTTGACCTGTTTTTTTGGAAATATTCAAAAGAATTGAATATTTGGTTTTAAAGCCCAAGCCCACAGCTGCGCATATATAAGGACTTGCTTCCTTGTTCAAACAAATGCAACTTTTGAAGAAGAATACTTTCTTTCTGTTTTAAAAAGTCTAAGTCTTTTAATTGTCAAACACTCTAGCATTGATTGAATACTTGTGTTGTTATTTGAGTTATTAATTGTGTATCATTCACAAGCTTTTAAGTATTGAATGATTGAGGTGTTTTAAACTTATTATTTATGTTAGTTTTTCACTGTAAGTGATTAAAGGGATTTGAGGAGGGTCTCATACCTAGGTGAGTCTTAGGTAGAAGTTTAGCACGAGTAGTGGTTAAGTGATTAGATCGTAAACAGGTTATTTACTGAGGGTCTATGAATTGATACTATTTAGTGAACTTGTCTCTGACTTGGTAGCCCCCATAGTAGGTGTTGTTGTACACTGAACTGGGTGAACAATCTCTTTTGTTTTTACTGCTTTTGATTTTACTGCACCTTACTTGCAAACAGATATTTATGTCGTGACATCTCATTCGACATCATATATCTGATACCAAAATTTCAGCTTGTGTGATTGGGCATTAGAAGTCTCTTACTTGTGTGTTTGAGCATTGGAAGTATCTTGCTTGTGTGCTTGACCAATTGTAATCAATAGTGATTATAATGAAATTCCTTGGAAGTACAAGGGGACTGGACTACTCATGTTTTATGGGAGAAACTAGGATAAATTTCTTGTGTCTCTTTTTATCTCATTCTCTAACTCTGGTATTGCTTTTATCTGTTGCAAACAACTTACCTTGAATCATATTCTAGACCATGTGTTTAAAATCTGATAAGTGTGTTTTGAAAAAGAAAGAAAAATCCTACACAATTCAACCCCCCTTCTTCTGTTTTTCTCACCTTCATTAACAATGTTCCCCCATCAGAGTTACACATGTTGACTTCATTGTGGCCTTTCTTAGAAAGGGTCATGGACATTCTTTGTCCCTTTCCTCTGGCCCCTAAGATGATTGAAATTTATGATCTTGGCATTTGATTATTTTAGAATGTAGGTGTAATTCGAGGCCTTGGCAAAGATAAATGCTGCCAACATACTGAAATTATTCGAGAAAAACATTTTGTCTAGGTATGGAATTCCCCAAATTTGTTACGACGGACAACGAAACGCAGTTTATAGATAAACATTTGAAAAAATTGCTTACAGATCTGAAGGTCAAGCAACATTTCATGTGTGTAGAATATCCCCGTACAAATAAGCAAGTAAATAAAGCTAAATGAGTTTTGTTAAGGGGACTAAATAGAATATTTGAAGCATCTAAAGGAAATTGGGTCTATGACCTCCCACATGTTCTTTGTCCATATATGAACACACCTCGGTTGACTATGGGAGAAACCTTATTCTGACTTAATTCCAAGGCTGAATTCGTCATTCCTGTTGAGATGAGAGAACTTAGTTGGAGGACGACACACCCCTCGCTGGAAGAAGATGACATGCAAGCTATCAAGCAAGAGGTATACCTTTTAGAAGAGAATAAAGCCTTAATATTCATCATGAACACTATTGTAAAACAATAAACCACATCCAAGTAAATAACGAGTAAGGCATCAAGACTTCCAGCCTGACGCCCATGTGTTGAGACAGACTAACATAGGAGGAAATGATGTTGGGGACGGTAAGCTTAAATCCAACTATAAAGTACCATGCATGATCAAGAATAGCACATGGAATAAAGCATACACCATGGATGCCTTATTTGGAGAACCAACCCAAGGAACATGGAACACTACCAAACTCAAATTGTATTTTAACTAAAGTGTTCTTTCGAATTGCACCTATGCAGTTCGAAAATAACTCTCTTATGTAATACATTTGGAGTAAATAATGAAATAATCTATTATGAGTTATATGATTTGTTTCCTAAATTATAACAAGACACGTGAATGATGCGAAAAAACCTAAAATTGGGCGAACAAAGTTGCATTAGACATACCCCTTCTTGGTAGATATCCATTCCAAAGCATAGGTGGTTGAGCCCCCAGGTACGTTAGCCTCGAACCAGGTTTCCACCTAGGGCAAGAAAGGGGAACTAACCTTTGGCTGAGCATAGTCCCAAGATACGTCGAAGCAAAGCAGGCCCTCAGCTCGTTCACTCCACAAATATGATGAATTAAAATCATACAAGAAGATATGATGAAATAAAATTATGAAAGAGTATATGATGAAGATAAAAAATATAAAACTATATGATAAAATAAAATCATGAAATACTATATGATGAAATAAAATCATGAAAGACTATATGTTGAAATAAAATCATAAAAGTCTAAAACAACAAAATGAAATAGATATGGGGTGATGAAATATAATCACCCATAAAAAAAAGGAAGAAATTTGATTAATTATAAAATAAGAGTTATAAAATATCAAAGGAAAATATCATTATAAAGACTAAGAACATGCAGCAAATTGACAACTATTAATTGATATAACAACATAGTTTATTCATCATCACCAAATAGCTTTCCTCCCACTAATTCCTTTTCCGAATCAAGCAACTCCTTGGGAATATCCACACTAGGGAAAAACAACTTTACTTGGCTCAAGGCATTTTGGAAGGATACCTTCATTATGTTGGTACTCTCATTGAGAGAGTCTTCGACCTCCTTTTGCAAGTCTTCAACCTCATTCACCGACCCTGCAAAATGTTTTAGTGACAAGACTTGTATTTAATGTGCTAGTTCCCAAGGTTACTGTTGTACCCCAAAATTTTCCCTCTCTTTATCAAGATTCTCCTCACAAGACTCTTTGGACTCAAGACCAGATTAGGGTTTGCTCAACTCAAGACATCTCCTTGCACTGATGACCTGAAATTAGGGTTTGATTTTGCACAAGGATTTTTGGACTTAAAATGCCTCATGTGACTTTCATAATTCATGTTGGACTCCTAATATTGCTCATACCAAGTTTCAAGCCTTGAATCAAATTTTTGCCCAGTCAATTGGACAGTTGACCTAAAAATCAGCTGTATTGGGGGAAAAGTCAACCATAGCCAATTTACAGTCAAACCTCATAATTTTTTATCCACATCAACATTATAGACTCATATGAACCATTTGATCAAGTTTGGACCACAACTCCTCAAGAAATTTGATCAGATCATCAAAAGGGCAAAATGGTCAAAATTAGGGTTTTAACTGTAGAAGGGCAATTTCTGATTTTTCACCTAGCCAATGGAAAATTGGGTTCAATCATGGTTTCAAAGACTCAATTGCATCATATTGACCTAATCACAAGGTTCAAAAGATCTCAAATTCATTGGATTGACAGATGAATTTCCCAGTCAACTGATCAAAAATCAACTATACACTAAAAAGTCAAACTTTGACTTTTTGGTCAAAATCAAGTGCCAAGGATCATTTTTTATCAAGATGTGTCAAAACATGAAAACCAAGAAACCTAATTTTGAAATTTAGGGTTTAAGATTGAAAATTTTCATAACTTAGAAATTTTCTAAGTTATGAAAATTTCTCATTTTTTCCCAATTTTTCCCAACTTTTTCACCATGATGCAATTGGATTCAAAGAAAACTTCCAACATGAAAGTTGTATTCCTCCACAAAATATACAACTTTGATTCACAAAGTTTTCCAAAAAGATGCTTGGATCTCAAGTTATGATTTTGTGAATAAGGGTCCATGAAACTTTTAACTTAGTGAAATTTTGCCCTAGTTTAGGCAGGATTTTGACCTATCTTCATGGCAACTTTTAACCTAGTTCCAAGTGGAATATAAAAATGAATTTCAAATAAGGATTGTAGAGCATGTTACAAGATTTCAAAAATGTCCAAGAACTCTCTATGATCATTTGTGGTTAGGGAGAATCGAAGAAAAGAAAATGGCCATTTCTCACTTTTATCCATGGCATTTTTCACATTGGCACAAGTTGCAAATCAGTTTGGATTGTAACACCCTCTAAAACCCCGAATAAATTTCGCAAATAATTAAAATCATATTTTCAGAGTACATGTATTAACGAGGATGTCACAATTCTCTTTTAATAAAAACAAGTTCCTGTCATGCATAACATAGAAGCAACTCATACATGTTTACACAGCGGAATAATTTAATTAACAAACCAATGTTATAATATTTTCAAAATCATCAGGGATTAACACCTGGAATATATCAACATCATATTATAACAAACATAAGGAAATAAACGAGTCTGACTAAAGCAGCTCGACAAACAAACGTTCCCGGAGTTACAACTATCAGAGCATGACCCGGACAATACTTAAACTGAAATAAACTAGAAACAACAAGCCTTCGCCAAGCACCTGAACGAAGCTCCTCAATCTGAAATATTCAACATGTAAGGGTGAGCATCTCAACTATACATTTGATTATACGTTCAAAACAATCAATTTAGGAAACCATAGACATCACCCAACAATTAAGCATGTTTTATAAATTACAAAAACCTTTACAATTCATATATTCATAATATCTTACTTTTCATGCTTGTAATTATCATCAAACGTCATTAACAATTTAGTATCAATACATGCATACAATCAATCAAATACAACATTGGAAAAATCATCCATTCATGTCATATTCAATGTAATGCAACACACCCATGCATGTGGTACCATTTTACCGCCCCATTAAATCTCGGGTCACGGATAACTCACCGTTCCATTATATCGCGGACACGGCTACCACCTCAACGTTCCATTAAATCGCGGACACGTATATTGGCCACCCTGTTAATTCCACACAATGGGAATTAACAAATGCAACATGATATGTAAAGTATGTAACACTCAGCATACTATTAACATCAATCAACATATCATGCAACATCAACAACATCAATCATAACAGGATATGGATAGCATGTAATCACTCAGCATACTATCAAACATCGATCATATCAAGTTATATCATAATTCATGCTTGATACATCATCTAAAGCATGGCAATAACATCCCTATAGTGTTGGTATCATAACATACAATCGTTATTCGATACAAATATCAATCAACACTAGGCAATCAATAAACAGCATATGCAAAACATATCAAACACTGCACATCAAAACAGGATCACTCCGTACATAACAGCATGCACAGAAAACAAAATTCAGAAAACAACACAGCAGCATCAACACGGGTGCCCGTGTTAAACAACACGGCCCGTGTTGTAACGTGTCCAGAAAACACATTATCCTTATCAATACAGGGGATCAACACGGGTACCCGTGTTGTGCAACACGGCCCGTGTTGATGAGCGCAATCCCAAAATTCCTGCACCTGCAGCAGCTCATATATCCATATTTTTTTTGCACGAAAATACCTTTCTACGGCAGTGCAATGCAGTACAAAAACATCCAATCTACCATGGGAACCTAAAATCCCTAATTGGTTCATAAAATTTGGGAACCTAAACCTTTTCTAACAAGATTCGACCCTAAAGTCATCGATCATTCAGAACATCATAGAAGATGGGGTTATCCTACGAATTACCCGACCAATTGCATCTAAACCCATAAGCAAATATAAGTGGAGTAGTAGCCCCCCTTACCTTATCAAATTTGCAGCTTCGAACTCTTGAGCGATTGTCCGTCGTTCTTCAGAGCTCCAATCCCAAATATCTCCAAACACCTCACTAAAATACATAACAACCAAATTCACTTATAAACATAAATACTTTCTCCAATAATCACTTATTAAAATAAGCTCTTAAAGCTACTTAATTCCTCATAATCATATAGAAAATTTCACTAGCTTTCCAACGCATCAAACGGCGCCTAAATCGGAGTTACGGTTCAAAAGTTATAGCCGAAACGATTTTTGGGAAAAACCTACCCGAGCATCACACAGAAGATCAACACGGGTGCCCGTGTTGTGCAACACGGCCCGTGTTGATGACTCTGCAACACCATATTTCACGTTTTTATGCTTCCCAAAATCTCCCCAACTCATTCCTAATCATCCCCAAACATCCTAAAACCATCAAAATCGAATTCCTATCATATAGCAATGATCTAAAGCATACAATTAGGATCAATACCACATCAAAACCCAATCAATTCCATTCATGTTTCATCATCACAACAACCATGGCATCAAGAATCCATCATCCCTACAAATCCCTAACTCATATAGAATATATATCACAACTTATTCATAGTAAAAGAATGATCAACCCCTTACCTCGGATAATCTGCAGCTCCTGCAACTTCCTCGATCAATCTTCTCCTTCTTCTCCTTTCTCTTCCTTACACGTTCTCTGAGTTCCAAAATCCCAAAATCTCAGTTTTACGTGAAAGTGAACAAAAGTGACATATAAGTCCCAAATAACATTTTACTTCACTTGCACCCCCTCTTTTACCAATAACATCATAGCCCAATAACCTTCAATCCTTA